TAAGTAGTATGTTCAAACATCTTGACATTTCTATTTTAAGGTTTCTCAGACTTAACGTATCCCGAATGGAACTCTTAGATCTCCCGCCACATTGTCTTCTCTCTCATAAAATGGCAACTTGCTGTCTTTTTTTATTCTCAGTACATCTGCATGCCTGTCAGTTATACCAGCCAGCTGTAACTTGGGACTGTCCACCCAGATCCATTTTCACTCTCCGTTCGTGAGTTAGGCCTCCATACAGTCTCACTGGGACTTGTACAGTAGCCTCCTGATGACTTTCTCTGCTTCTCCTTCTTCCTTCTCCCAAACTTCTCCCACATAACAATTACCATTGTACTTTAGACAGTTCTTTTTCATGAAAGCCATTCAGTGGCTTCCTGTCACCTTTACAAAAAAAAAATCCTCAATCTTTACCATGACCTGTGAGGCTGTCTGTATAATCTGGCTCTTGCCTTATTTCAAAACTTCATATCATGCCCTTTCCCTTTAGCTCCTGTGTTTAGCTGAGCTGGTGTGCTTTGAGTTCCTTGAAGATGCCTTGCTCTTTCCAGCCTGAGAATCTGCCCAGCTCTTTCCTCTGCCTGAAATACCCAGTCCCCTGCTTCTGAAAGGGTTGTTCCAACTCATCCTTCAGGGTCGGGATCAGTGTCACCTTTGAGATGCTGTCTCTAACCTCGCTATCTGAGTAGGGCCTTGCCTTCTCTTCCGTTTGCTTCTATCTTTGCTCTTCCTTTGGTTTCATGAAACACTGGTACATACAGCTACATGTTGCTTTGTGGTACACTTGCTGATTATTCCTGTCCAGCTAGCTGGGAATCTCCATGCAGTAGTTGCTCAGTTTACAAGATGGACAACTAAACTAAAAGGCTGATATGGAAAATCCCATCTCTTCCTGGAAGATTGGGATCACACTGTCCGTTGACCTGCTACATGCCATTTATACACTCAGTCTGTAAATAGCTTCGAGATTAAGCAAAATGCTGCTGGAGGAGCCTTGAATGGCTCACAGGCATTTAAAAGTCAGCATGAATGTTAAAGTTTGGTTTGAATATTCATCTAAGCCTGGGAAGCACAGCCCACGGTGGTCTGGGCCCTGCTCTCTTGGGCAAATTTCTGGAAATACATTTGGTTTCTCTGGCTTAGTGGGAAGTATTCTGTTTGACAAGACAACTATCTGGATTCCTCACATACTTGAGTTCCTTTAACAGAATTGTAAACTGCAGGTGAGGGAAAGGTTTCCTTGTGTTTAGTGTAGAATGGAGAGGACTTTGAACCAGAATTGGGCTTGGAATTTTGTTTTAGTCCTGCTATTTTGAAAAAACAAAACAAAACAAAAAAACCAAAACCACCACCAACAATAACCCCGCCTGGGCTTCATTCAGTTTCCCCATCTTACAGCCAGATGCTTTCTACAGTTCCTTCCAGTTTTAATCTTTATGAAATCTCTGATTCCTGTTAAAAAGTTAGGGATTCTGATACTGGAGGTAAACACGAAACCTGCAGCCTTTTACAAAGTAGACCTTTCCCCAAAATCATTTTTATGGAGAAAGTGTGAACACTGTCCTAGAGCACGGCCAATTCCTCCAAGGTTCATTCAGAAAGCTTTCAAGTTCACTTCTGAGCACCCTTGCCTGACTTTTAGTTGATTGGAAATTGTCTGAGGAGAAAAGATTTTAGAGTTTGATGATTTGAGGCCTTGTTTGTTTGTTTAAATGGCTTGTACTTCACCCTATTAGGAATTAAAACGGTGAACCAATGGAGTGCCCGCTCCTAAGCTGTAATCCACCCTCCCCTCCCAAAAAAGAATCTTGTTCACTTTACTGTGAGCATGAGCAGCTCACTTGGTCACCCAGAGGACTGTCCTTTACTGAAAAGATGCAACAGAGAAGAGAGAAAGGCAAACTTCCATTCTCCACTCATAAGGATTACAAAAAAGAGGCAGTCAGGAAGATTCTGAGCAAATGCATGATTTTAATATGAATTTTTATTTTCCTCTGGATGGTAACAGCTTGCATCTCTTTATTAATTGTTTTTAGTATGGACTGGCATTTATAGTAAATGCTTATCTCACTTATTCCCAAAACCTCCTTTGAGTTGGGTGGGAGTTTCTCATTGTTATTCCAGGGTAAGAAACTGAGGTGCTTAGAGGTTAAGTAACTTGGTAAATGAAGGCCCAGTTAACAAATGATTGAGTTGGGATTTGAACCAAGAAGAGTAACGAATCTTTGAGCCTAGGATGTCGCTAAAAGCATTTTCAGCATTTTTTAACGGTAGTGAAAAGATAATAGGGAAATTAATGACACTCAATTCACAAACTGAGTTGTGTTCATTCTGTGTCCTTTTCCTAGAGATCCTGGGTGTTTTCTTTTCACTCAGTCCTATCAATACCCTTTCTTTCTAGGATGTTTGATTTTAAACGTTCTTGAATGGAAATCACACTCTGAGTTAAAGTAATGAACCGTCATATTCTGTATGATCACATAATAGTATTTCACAAAAGCATGACCTTATTTGTAACTTAGAATCATTGTGACCTGTTGCTTTAAATTTTTTAAGAATTCAAGTTTTTCTCCTCCCCCAGTGAGGCCCACTTTTTTTTCCCCAATCACTTTAATTATGTGAACTAGAATCCTGTTTCTCACACATCTTCGGTTCTCAACCTTGTTAAAATTAATCATATAATCCCCCTTTAAAACATAGTATTAAATCACCATAGTAACACAGTATCCAAGCTTTATTGATAAAACATAACAGCCATAAGAAGGTAGAGTTTGGTGTCCCCTGGACAGCTCTATAACTTTTATAGAAATGTGTTCCTTCTTCTGGCTTGTGTAAGATGGAGGGATAGCATTACTTACACCTGTTTTATTACCACACTGCTTTTAAATTGCCACCTTGTTTTCGCTCACCTTCCTAGTTAAAAAAGGAGAGTGGGGCACTTTCTTTTCTTTCTGGATTATTTTCTTGTACTCTCTAACCACTCTCTAGGGGATGGAATTGTTTTCTTAAACACGACTAGGTAGGGCCCATTGACCTTTTTGTACTGGGATATCTTGAAAGTCTCTTTAATTTTCATTTGTTTATGTGTTTTGTATGAGGGAGTTTTAGAAAGGAAGGCTATTCATATTTGAAAAATTCTTATCCAGAGACTCAATAAGTCTGCCTTTGGAACAGGCCTTGTAAATGATTTTTCATTTCTGCCAACAACTTATAAATTACAGGTGAGAACATTGATTTGAATATTTTGTCAATTTGAGTATATTTTGTAAAATACAATGTATGTAAAATACGATATAAGTTAATGAGTTCCTTTGGATAATTCAGTGTCAAATTCTAAAATACTATGTTAGCATAAATTTATGTATTAGGATTTGGAATATTTAAGTTTTTTTTTTTTTAAGATTTTATTTATATATTCATGAGAGACAGAAGGGGGTGGGTAGAGACACAGGCAGAGGGAGAAGCAGGCTCCACACAGGGAGCCTGATGTGGGACTCGATCCCGGGTCTCCAGGATCTGGGCTGAAGGCGGCGCTAAACCACTGAGCCACCCAGGCTGCCCTAAAGGCCACCTTCTAAAGTCAGTTTACCACTTAGCTTGGATTCCTTTTTAAAAACTTAAATATTCAAGCAGCCCAGGTGGCTCAGTGGTTTAGCGCCGCCTTCAGCCTAGGGTCTGATCCTGGAGACCGGGGATGGAGTTCCACGTCGGGGTCCCTGCATGGAGCCTGCTTCTCTCTCTCTCTCTCTCTCTCTCTCTCTCTCTCTCTCTCTCTCTCTCTCTCTCTCTCTTTCTCTCTCTCTCTCTCGAATATATAAATAAAATCTTCAAAAAAAAAGTGGTCTTTAAAACATTTTGCAACTGCAAAAATTGTTTCTAGATTAATCTCATTAGTAATATGCCTTTTAATCTTTTGAAACGTATTTCCTATTTTATGTTATTTTTAGGTGTGGTTTGTTGATTTTTGTGTTGATGTGGTAGGTTTTTTTCTTTACTCTTTCTTTAAAACCTGTTTCCATTTCTTAGCACCTCACATTGTTTAGACATTTGATATTTCTGTCCTATAAAATACATGTTCCTCATAAACTTAAATTCTGAAAGATACAGGAATGTAGGAACATAGTAGGTAACCTTGCCCTCTTGAATTCCAGCTCCTCCCCTTAGAAGCTCTGTGAACATGACTCAGTTACCTACCTGTTTAGTCGTGCTGTTTCCTTTTCTGTAAAATGGGAGCATCGTCTAAATTCCAGGGTTGATAGAGAAGTAAATGAGGTGCTATATATCAAGTCTAACTTGGTGACTGGCACATAGTGGACATTTAAATTCCGTCACCATTACTGTTTTCCCAACTAGAGGAATGGTCAGGTGAGCGTCGTTAGCAGCAAGCTGGCAGAATAGGCTTTGGCATCATAAAGGCCTGGGTTTAAAACACAGCTTTTTGCAGTTTACCAGCTGGCACCTTAGGCAGTGCTGCTCTAGGCTATTTTCTCATCTATAAAATGAGGTTAATTGAATGCTCCTTTCAGGATTTGGTGGGATGATTAACAGGGCTACCTGCCTAAACTCAGTAAGTGGAAGGTTTGGTAGCTCCAATCAGGTGATGAGGTGGTCACTATCTATAAAATGAGGTTAATAGGATGCACCTTTTAGGATTTTATGAGATGATTAACAGGCCTACTTGCCTGAACTCAGTTAAGTGGAAGGTTTGGTAGCTACTTTGGTATTAAGATGGTCGCTAGAAGGGGCTACTGGCTGACATTCTTCTCCTTCTTCCTCTTCTTCTTCCTCTTCTTCCTTTTTCCTCCTCTTCCTCCTCCTCCCCTGCCGCTCCCCACCCCCCCACCCCATATGTTCTCTTGAAGTGTGTAATTTTGAGTTCATTTATAAAGAGTTCCACTGAGAAAGGAAATGTTACAGGTTCAATGACTTGTCATGATTAGATACTTTATCAAGAAACTTATTGCACATTCATTTTTCCCTTTGTTCTCTCTTTGCTGCAGCCTTACAGTTAGCCAAGTTGGCCAGAACTTCACATTCGTGCTCACTGACATTGACAGCAAACAGAGATTTGGGTTCTGCCGCTTATCTTCAGGAGCGAAGAGCTGCTTCTGTATCTTAAGGTAAGGGAGAGTGGCTTTGGCTATTGGCTAGTTCTGTGAAACAGTGTCAGCCTTTGCCTCATTCCTCTGTAATTAAATTTCCCAGCTGTCCTTTTTATTTTTCTATCTGTTTCCCACAAGTCACTGCACTTGGGGAGAAGGACTTCACAATGTTGTTCTTGCACTTTAAGTTCTGCAGATAATTGTCTTTATTTATTTGCATCACATCCCTTGGGTGGGAAAGGGATCTTTGCTTCTGTGGCGTATGTGGAAGCTGGGGGGTCAGCGTGGCTTCAGTTCCTCCTGCTGTTATCTGGAGCTGTCAGAAATTAGCCTGTTAGGCTTTCCCTTGGACATTTTGTGTATGTAAGATTATTAATAAAGTATGTGTCTGTAGCTCAGGACGTCTTGCAGACACTGATTGCATCCTCCTCAAAGTAATACCCTTGCCCTCTTTGGGTCACTGAGGGAGTAACTGTTTCCCAACTTGGCTCCTTCTCTGGAGGTTTGGAAAAAGTACAGAATCCTGGAAGAAGGCTTCTTTAGGTCCTCTAAAACCCCTTCATACAGCAGAGCCACACTTGCTTAATGCTCTGTTTCCTCCTGCCAGAGGGGCAAGGTATGTTCTGGGGTGGGAGGATGTGTGGAAATCCGATTTTGGAGCTCCTGGCTCTGTGGGCTCCTGCTGGGCGCCTCCTAAGGGGGAAGTAAAGGCATCCCACACACTCCCCTCTCCATCTGCCTTGGTTAAGTAGGTGTCAGAGGGGCCTGCCTCCTGTCTCTCTCTGCTCGTGTGGAGCAGCCCAGGACAGGACAGTGGGGAGGCGCCCCTGACAAAACCCGGGTCCCCAGTCTTAGGCTTGCGCCAGGGATAAAAGGCCAGACTCTATGAATTCCAGAAAGAGTGGTTCTCTGGTACATTAGTTTTTGCACTTTCTTCTTCTCACCAAGAAAAGACCTCCCGCCCCAGCCCCACAAACACACAAACTCACTCACTCATGCCATAAGAGAAAGAGAGGGCTGACTTTTGAAGTGCCTTTGCTCAGTAACTGTCCATCTGGACTGCTATGTTTGCATTTCTCTACACAAATGCAGTTATTGTTATTAATAATCAGTAAAGTCACCTCTGTCCGTCACCAAGCTTCACGTCTATAATTCAGGCACCAGAGGGCAACTGCTGGAAAGACCACAGGAAGGAGGTATACGACCCAGATGCTCTGAGATTAAATGTGTGCAGCTGCTCTCAAACTTGCCTCAGTAGCTCAGCCCAAGGATGACCTGCCTGGAGTATTACAGTCTGATGTAAATGGCTGGGCACTGCTTATTTATATAGTCATTTAGAGGAGATGAGGGTTTAAGACAAGTTCTTGAAGTTTTGCAGAAAGGTGTTTGTTTTTTCAGAATATTTTGGTTTATGGTGTTTCTTCTTTTAAAGCTGGCATGTACATGTTTTGGGGGCAGGGTGGGATTCTAAGTTGACGCTATGACATTGACTCAGCAAATTTCTGAGTCTGGAAAATTGTTAATTTAAAAATCTTAATTTAAAAATTGCTTTCCTCTGATTCTGGTATTTGACTTTGTGTGTCTATATGTAGGGTCATGGATGTCATGCTTACAAAAAGCTAGTTGGTTAGCCTTTGTGCTGCCATCATTTAGAATGAAAAATAGCAGCAATTGGCATATTTTCTATCCGTGATACTAGGTTAGAACTCTGGGAAAAATTGGTGGGTTAATTCATTTATTTGTTTGTCAGCCCTTAATTGAGTGCCTACTATTAGCTAGTCCCTGTCCTTGAGGAGTTCCAAGATTAACTAGGGAGATAGATGATCATGCTGCCGTATGCTATATATATATTATGCACAGGACAATTCCATGGCATAGCGTCTTCTTACTATTGATATTCTAGTGCCAGAGGATAGTGACTGTGGTTAAAAATAGGGTCCAAATGAATTCTGAGACCTGCATTTCATGGGTATTCAACATGGTGGGGGGGTGCTCACTTTATCTTATCCAGCTTGTGCATTTGTAGAAGGCACACACAGTGGTACTTCTCCTGTTGCTTGGTATGGGAACATTGCTGAATTGAGACTGGCATATGAATGGAAGGGTCTGCTGTTAACCTTGGGTGACGAGTTGGCAGCATGTTCAATGGAGAGGTCTGCCTGGAGAATGCAGGTGTGATTTGGGTCTGTGTTCTATTAGTGCTGTTGGTCTCTTTGCCTTTGGGAGATGCTTGGTCTTTCTGCCTTTTTTTTCCCCCAAGATGCTTTCTCTTTAACCAGTGCCTTGAGGTCCAGTCACTATTCTCAGTGTTTAACCAGTACTTTAACTTGTTTGCTCATAAGCCACCTCTACTTTTGCATTCCGTTTCTTCTCGTGAGAGGCATAGCTTCCAGTGATGGTGTCTGCGCAGACACAACCTCCTCTGTTCCAGGATTTAGCTTCTTAGGGTCACTTCCTCTCTGACTGCTCATATGCTTCCTGGCCCATATTAGTTGCTGGACCTCTCTGACTTCACACATTTATCCATCCATCCACAGCAGCCTTCTCCAGGCAAAGGTAATCATCCTCTCCTCTGGGTGCACCCAGCATGCTTTGCATACTTCAGTTACACACTCATAAACCTTGAGCATCCTTTTACCTCTTCCTCCTATTACTCTATGATTAACTCTTTAAGAGTATAAAGATTGTGTCTTAAGCAACTTTGTATCTCTAGCACTTAGTGTAGTGCTTGGCCAGCATATTGTGTGCATGGCTTTCAGAGACAGGGAGATGTATTCCATGTGAATGGAAGAATAGGACATTGAAGGGTCTGAGTGAGAGCACAGGCCTCATGGGACACCAGTTCAAGAGAAAATGTGAAATACAGTTATTTGTAGAGAGATGTGGTTCATATTCTCAAACTTAATTTCTGTTAGTTGTAAGAGGTATACCTTTGAATCTCACCAGGGAGATCTAGTTAAGTGATAGGCATTATGTCCATAAAGGACTAGGCCATTGGTATTAGAAAATTTAAACTTAAAAAAAAATTAAACTTAATTTCACAATAAGGGATTCTTAGACATCTTTTATACAGTATAAGTTATTGGGTTAATTATTAGAAGCAATGTCTATTCCTTCCCCCTGGAATGTAAGAGTTCCATGAAGCCTGGGCAGATTTATCTCTTTTGTTCACAAATATACCCAAAGTACACTGAGGAATGGCTATGCCTAATAGGCACTTAGTAATACTTGTTTTATGAAGTAAAGAATTCCTGATCAATAAGCTCTGTGTTTATTTTTAAACATTTTTTTAAAAGTTGATTTAAATTCTATCACCAGCTAACTTTGATAGAAATGTAGTTGTGCTAGAGTATAAACAAATCTCATTAACACAAATAACATGGTATATAAAGTCAAATGCATTATTTCTTCCCATAATCAACTGGTTCTTTCTATTAAAGCATTTTAATTTTCCTTGAGATTTGCCATAATATTACTTAACTATTTACTGGATGGTAGTCAATCAATACTGGATTAAAAGCACAGCTAGGAGAATAATAGTTATGGGTAAGTTAGTCCTTCTTCACTATAAACCCAGGAATGTGAGAGAGTATGGTAGCATTCTCAGGTAGCACCAGCTGAGTCTGATATGTCGTATAAGCATTTACCTCTGAAATCTTTCAAACACCGTAAAATGATCTAGAACCATAATTTTTTCATGGCTTCTGATTTGTTTGCATGAGACATGTTCCATCCAGGCTAAAATTATAATTAGATATGTTATTTATAGCCAACTTCTGGTTTTGGAGGAACAGAAAGAGCAAAAGAGCTCAAAACCATAACTGTGTTGTTTGTGGGGGTGAATTATGGGAGATATGTCACACAATAATTAAATTTCTTTACTCTTTATAAAGGAACTTTAAAAATAATTGTTATGCAATATTCTCCTTTATGTATAGGAATCTTGTTGAAGCTCTTGAGAAAGTTTGAGTAACTGTCTTTATACCCCTATAAAACATTTTGGGAGGAAATAACTTGTTTCATCAAGACAATACCTAATATTTTTTAGTTTAACATTTATTAATTTTTTTAAAGATTTATTTATTTATTCAGAGAGAGAGAGAGGCAGAGACACAGGCAGAGGGAGAAGAAGGCTCCATGCAGGGAGCCCGACGTGGGACTCGATCCTGGGTCTCCAGGATCACATCCCGGGCCGCAGGCGGCGCTAAACCGCTGCGCCACCAGGGCTGCCCTAGTTTAACATTTAAATTGTTATTCAATTAGTATGTAGTATATGCCAGGAATGAATAATGTGTAACATTTTGGTCTTTGGCCTTTCTGTACCCCAGCATAGACATAAAGATCTTACCCCAGCTTCCCGTATGAGAACCTTTCAGATACCATGTTCATTCAAGATTTTGATGAGCTGAACTTTTAAAACCTGGTCTTACAAACTGAAAACAATAAGTACTTTTGGTCCTTTACCAGATTTGAAATTTAATATGCTTCTGAGTGCACCATTCCCAAGCCACCTCTGATTTTGATACATACCTGCCATTTCACTTCGACTGTTTTTACTGTCTTAGGAGCCACAGTCTTTGGGAAGGGGCTGTGTAAAGAGTAAAATATAATGCAATAAGTGCTATTTGAAAAAAAAATTTTGTGTGTTCAGATTTCTTTGGGGTCACTGAGTAGGCAGTGCCCATCTCTGACTCGGAGAATCACGGAAAGTGTTGCTGATGGTTTCCAGTTAAGCTGGATCTTAAAGAATCACTGGGGGCTTTCCTGGAGAAGAATTGGAGAAGAACTTCATAGGCAGTGAGAAGAGGCATATGAAGTCCAGAGAAAGGAAAGATGTGGCAAGATGGAACACTCATGTGATGTCAGTAGCAGAAGATGATGCCATAAATGTCTTGGGGCCAGGTTGGGAACGCCCTTGTGGGACATGCCTAAGAATTCGGATTTACCCCAAAGCAAATGGCGCATCACTAGATGATAGGGCAGGCATTAGAGACATTGATGTTTGTACACCAAAAGGA